TGAGTTATTATAAAAATTTGATCAAATAATTTCCATTTAGCAGCTAATGGTTGCAGTTAGTGTGGAGTAAACCCTTCCCATAGTCAGCCAAATTTCAATAACTTCACTAAAATTTTTGTTCTTGTCTTTTCATTACTATTCGAATCCTTCAAAGCCCACCATTTTGACTTCTCGTAATGTTTAGCTGCACTTTACTAATCTAAAATTTTATATTTAAGCTTAGTTTACTGATTAATTGTCTTTTTTTTTAAATAAAAGTAATTGTTTAAATAAACTAATGATTAATGGGTAGTCCATAATTGATAACCACTTCTTTATGGGAAGTTCAGAAGCTAAATTGACATCAAAAATTGGTTTCGCTGTTTGCTTCAATTTTTTGACAGTTTCACAAAAAGATTTCCTTTCTGTATTCTACTGTTTGCTGCCCCTAATTGTATCTTTGATTATAACAAAATGTTTATTTTGTTGTAAAAATTAGGAGCGAAACGTTTTTGTTTGTTTTACTGTGACCTGCAGTTGGCAAATAATTTTAATTGTGCTTTCATTGGATGTTTAAGTGCTAAATTGAAATCAAAGGTTGTTGTTGATTGAAGTAATGACATTTTGGTTATATGTAAAAGTAAAAGCCTTACTTTTAATTTGTTTTATATCTTCACTAAATAAAGGTTGTTCCAATATGCAAGAATTGCAGATAAATTGTGTACCCGTTCTGGATATCTTACAGTCTCTATTACTATTACTATCCAATAATAAACAATGAGGAATATAATTCATTTTATGGTAGCTCAATTAAGTTTTTCTAGGTCGATATTTGACTACTTTGATGCGTCGATCCATTCATGGCTACAAATTCTTCTTCTACAATATATAAGAGCTGGGCATTCTCCAGGGATTTATAGGAATGCTTCTGTGTCATCCATACCTAGTCTACATTTGTCGGTTTCAGTTAGTCTTAAAATCAGTTTATGCTTGCTAAAAAGCAGCGACCAGTTATCATATCACACCTTATTTTTGAATCTCATCTGTTTAGATTTAACAAGTATTCGGTTTTCTTACTTTTAATAAAAGTATTTTGAGAAAAAAAAGCTTAGTATAGCAAGATACGGTTGCTCGAGGTTGGCTTCCTAAGCCAATTTGTCTGCCACTAAAATCATTGTATGTAGGTATCCCCTATAAAATCATTAAATTGCTAGTAAAAAGATTTTGTAACACATTGAGTTTGTCGGACCTAAAGCTAAAGACTATTTGATATAAAGATTATCCATTTATCACTTTTCTGATAGTAGATGTCTCCTGCAAATATTTATGGAACAAAATTCTAGTCGATTATGCGATTCTCTGGTTTGTAGACTTCATGTTTACAGATGGCTGCACACTGTTCAGTTATAGAACCATATGCATACAAAGCAATGTCATTGGTAGTGATATTGATTTTATTCATTATCCATTCGATTTTGTGTGGTATGATGGTGATGTGTATGCTATTTGTCATGTGTCGTAGAATTATGTGTTCTACATAGAGGCATCTCAAAGTCTTTAGATTGTTTTAACTATATATATGTAAATATGCCAAATTTTGTGATTCAAGAAAATTCTGACGTCATGTCTCTTCTATATTCTGAATGACTATTCAGAACGTTCTACTATGATCGACAAAATGTTTGCAAGGACCCGTACTATTATTTCCTCAAAAAATTATTTTTGTGTGATTTTTTTTCTTTTAAATTTTATTTATAGATTACAATTAAAGTGAAATATATATGTATAAAAAATGTGCTGATTTCATAGAGTAAATATCTTGATTGTCAAACTTTGCATCTTAAAACTGCGCGGAACTAAATTTTATCTCGCAGTTATATTAAGTATTCAATACATAATAATTCTTTGGTAGAGCGTAGCATTGGACCTTTTGCGATCAAGTTTAAGAAACTCTAGATCTAGAACTCTAAATTGAGTCAATCTGATTTCGATATACATTTCTAGTCTGCTAATATGAACATATTTTGTTTTATAAAGTCCATTAAACTAACTGCAAACCTATGGTATATATGATTTTAGAACTTTCAAATGACGGTGCTTCAGAATTATGGGTCAAGCCTTCTAGATGGATATAAAATCCTCAAAAAGCTTTGCGTTTGATGGCATATTAAGTTTTAAAGTTTTATAAAGTTCTTAAAAGTTTTTCGTTGCTTAATCAGGTGAGTATGAGAAGTAGATAAGTGCTATAAAAAATATATTTTCTCTCCATGAAATCAGTCATTAGTTGGTAACCTATATGTTTCATCAACAAAAATTGCGATAAATAGCTACATTGAGATGTTCAATTCTAAATCTAGTTCCACAAAGCAGAAATGAAAACACATCACTTTTTTTTTTAAATTAATTGACCATTAAAAACTCTAATTCATTCACAAATAATCTATCTTTTTGTACAATTCACAACTTTCACTGTAAATTACAACGTAAAATTGCGTCATCCCAGACTGGTTGTATTCCTTATCAACAAATTGAATAAGATCCGCAGCTACAAACGGCAACGTAGTCGGCTTTGACGTTGAAGCGTCTGCGCTTCCAGAGGCAACACTGTACAATCATTGAAAGAGCAAAGAGTGAACAGAGTTCAGTGAAAAAATTGTAGTTATCACGCCTTTTGTATTTAAATTAATAATTTTAATAAAATATATTAAAATTTAATTGAATGTGAAGATACTTTAAAAGCTGTACACAGATACGCACATACCACCACTATAAGTGATCAACATAAATTAATTAATTAAAATTATACACTTGAAAAAAAAACACAAAAGTATTAATAAAATAACAGCAGGGAAATTAGTAAAACGAATACTTATTTGTTCTAAATATAAAGTCTTGACTTTGGTATTAACTAAGCTTCAAATAGCTCCTCACAGATAATTGTGTTACAAATTTATTTACGATTAATATAATTCATTCTTTTCCTTATATACACAATTTTTTTTTTTTCGTTAAAATACATAGTTAAAAATATAAGTTCATTTTTGACAGTGTTGTAGTGCTGGCTATATGATATATGTCATGTAGTCTACCAGTTGTTTCCAGTTAGTAACTTGATTTTGCCCGGATATACCGAAAAATTCTCTGCATTTATTCGATTAGCTCAAAGTTTTAGAAATAAGTTTACCCACATCACTTCAACTAAAACTAAACTAACTCCAGATATATCCAAAATATCAATACTGATATATTCGTGCAGGTCACTATATATTGGGAATGTTGCAACTCTGCAGATGAGTAGAAATTGTACTCTATCTCATATGCAGGTGCCCATCATTTGTTAGGAGAATATCAAAATCTTTGGCGTACCTTTCCTAATTGATAAAGACAAAGTCAAATTTTAACTTGACAGATTGGTTCACTTCTACTTGAGTGTGGAAGTCGTAACTTCTCAAAATGACGCTATCCGTTGGCTATGACTTCAACTCTAAATTTAACATAAGATGTATGGCTACTTCGTGGTATTATAAAATGTCATTAATAGCAGATATATCAAGACTTTATATTCATTAAAATAATAACTAGTCTCCATCGTCTTCTTTACAAACATTTTGGTAAACTTAGCATACAGTTTTTGGATTATTTAAATAGTTTTTCAAATTATTTGAAAATTAGTTATTATATCCTATACCATAATAGGAGTTTAAAAGCTCTATACATATATAAAGAGTCATGCATTTCTAGGATTTAGTTTGGCAACATTCTAGCAGGGATATCATCTAAGGCATTATGGGTTTAGCCTGAGGTTTACTCTCTTTATAATATGTATCGTTTAGCAATCGTTGATTGTGTTAAAATTGTAAAAACTTAGTACAAAACAGGGTGCTTTTATAATTTGTATATTTCGCATTGCATATTCATCAGTGATGAGGTCATCAAACAAAATTGTCGCATCTGGAGTAGTAAATATCCACAAAAAGTGACGCTATGGTATGGCATATGGTTGGAAAGTGTAACACGTCCGCACTTTTTTAAAGGTGTGACGATAATCTTATATTCTGTGTGTTCCATCCATATAATAACCAATTCTTTTGACATTATTTTTGAAGATACGAATGTAAAGGATATAGAGAATGTCACCATAAGCCACACTAAATATTAGGTGAAAGTGCGAGCAGTATGTGATTTCACTTTTTAGTGTTAGGAATTGGCCATCTATATCGTGTGTTTTTTTTAGTAGAGGTACGTATATAATCGTGACCAAATGAAGAATTTTTCAATTGCCACCACTATGAAAGTAGTCGAACATTAGTCGAATTATCCGACTAGCTATAGCCAGCTATAGGTCAATGAAACGATGTCTTATTTCGTAATTATTGATCTGATATATGTATATAATATACTAAAAGAAAAATTTGATCAAAATAGAGGTTTTTTATTTTCGCTTATTTCTGGAAGCACAAAGTAAGTAACCCTGTATATTAATTTATGTTTATTTATTTTTTTTTTGGCAACTAATTGAAACTTTGTTTTTAATTATTATTATTTCTTGAAAAATGAATTTACATCTAAATCAATTTTAGAAGAATTATAGAATATAGAAGTATATATATATAGTACATAAATATATATAGTACATAAGTAATGGACAATAAATTATTATATGTGTAATGAAAATAATTGCATAAATTAAGATACGAAATAAAATATTATAAAAACATAAATTATTTAAGTGTAATATAAAGTTCTTGATTTCAATAAATTGACGATTTACCACTCCATTTGTAATTTATTTTAAATTTTGATTTTATTCAATTTTATAATACTATTCTTAAGTCGAACGATTTGAATACAACTTTTTTGAAGTGTACTTAATTTAAATATTTCGCTCGCGAGAGACAAAGATAAGCCACACCGGGTACTAACAAAATAAAAGACGCATTTAAAGCTGATAACGAACTATAAAAGAATTAAAATAAAAAGTTTGTTTAAGCGGGTCCATTCAGTAGATTTTTAGCAACTTATTGAAATAGAAACGCGACTCAGAAACTTGAACGGGGAGGTTAAAGAGTAACGCATCGGAAAGGCACACAACTACAAACCTTAGACCGGTAAAATATTATTGCAATGTTAACATATAAAAATAGGAACTTGCTCAAATTATTCAAAACGCATAAAGTCGAAAAAAATTCGGGCTAACATTCAAGCCAACACAAAAAGAAAATAAGCACTCGAATAAAGATTCCAACATTGCTTTAAATAACACTCTGTCAACACAGAATTGGAATATATTTGCCAGAAGTCTTCAGAAGAGTAGTAATACCACGCACATATATGTGGGCTTTGTGGTTAATATATTTAAGCGGACTGGGAGTCTTGCTGTTAATAAGTGCGAAGTCTATAACGCACATCTCTGATTCGGATGAATGGCAAAATGTCAATCAAACGTGCTTAACACGTGCGTGCGATAAAACCGTCAATATACAACATTTGGAGAAATTACGGAGCTATATGCGTCCTGAAGTAGATCCATGTGAAGACTATCATCAATATGCATGTGGCAATTGGCGTAAAATTCATCCAAATGGCACAACAATGATAAGAAGGGCGGATGATCTTTTAACAGAGAAATATGTTAAGCTATTCGAAGATGCCACAAATCATACACTGTGGCAAGAACGTGATATTGTCTTCGAAAAATTGGTGAAATATTATCATGTATGTAAATCAAGTGAACAAGTAGAACCCCTTAAGCTACGTGGTTACTATGATATTCTCCATGCCAACAGTATGTGGCGTCTTCAAGGGTATAACTGGCAGGCTGCTTTAGCCGAATTCGGGCGTTATGGATATAAGAAAGAATTCATGCAAACACAAGTGAAGCAGGCAAATGCTACTAGCCATCGCATGCAAGTTGTATCCGACAGCGTCGAAAAGAAACTAAACTTAACAAGCGAAATTTTTGATATACTCGCCGATTATACGAAATTGGACTTTGATACGCTTAAAAACGAATTTCAAAAATTGGAAACAGATTTTGACAATCTAGTTAATAAGACACGTGCCGGCCACACTGAAGAATTTAATGATAATTTACCACTAGTTGGGTATACCTTAACTGAGTTAAAAGAAGAATGCCCAGAAATTGATTGGCAACTCTTTCTAGATATACAAATGGGGCGTCCAATATTAGGCACAGAACTGATTTGGATTTATGACATGGAGTTATTAAAAAATTACGCTAAGTACCTTCATCAAGCCGACAATAGCTTAATGTTCCTGTACACGGTGGCTGGTTACCTCAGCTATTTACGACGTCAGTCTCACGGTATTTTAAGTTTGGGCGCCAACAGCAATAACTGTATACGGCATATGCGCAAGAATATTTACATACCGATGACTTATGTCTACGAGCATGCATACTACGGCCATAAGCGCGCAGAAAGCGATCCGGTTATAAATTTCATATTCAACCAGTTAAAGCTGGAATTTAAACGCACACTTGAAATCAACAAAATGCAATTCTCGGCGGAAGTACTGACGTATCTGCAAGATAAGCTTACTACGTTGCATCTAAATTTAGGAAATTTGCCTGTGAATGTGACTAAGCAGTTTTACGTCGATTATATACACAATTTGAATGTAAGCGAGAGCTTCTATAGAAACCATTTGCAAGCACTTGAGCATTTCTACATACATCAGCGTCATCTAGCCGATATGAAGGAAACCGAACACATCAATCCCTGGTATACATTCAATTACCAAGAACCTGAATTTCCAGACTCGCTAGATGCCACACCACATTATTTCTGCCTCAGCAATATGATCATCATACCGCACGCGTATTTACAACGTCCTTTTTACCACCAACAGTTCTGGCCAGGCTTACTTTATGGCGACTTGGCAGCAACTCTGGGACACGAGCTATTACATGCGTTCGATAATGAGTTCTTGGAGTATGATCATATGGGTAACTTAAGTGATATGGAGCAAGTTATTGTAGAAAATTCTAATTTCAAGAAAAATCTTGATTGTATAGAGCAGGATACAGAGTTTGTATCGGAGCGTATTGCTGATATCAGTGGCACACGTTTAGCACTTAACACATTTTTGCGCAATCCAACATTTCTACAGCATAATGGCAAAATATTCTTTCTTCAACTTGCGCAGTTCTTCTGCGGTTCTATGGATTCGACTACTTTTCACCTAGAGGATCCATACCATGATGTAGACAGTTTACGCTTGAATTACATGTTAGCCAACACACCAGAGTATGCAAGAACGTTCAACTGCCCGATTGGAAGTCCTATGAATCCGGCAGTAAAGTGCGAGTTGTGGTAAATTTAATAAATATATTTTAAGTGAAATAATCATGCTAAGTCATAGTTAAAGCGATTACGTTTTTAGGTTAGCATTTAAGCATACACATTATTTATGTGTAATAAATTTAGTATTTCAACTTTACTAGCATTTATATAGTCCGGCAATTTGCACACATATAATAACAATTTCAATGTATATAAATATGGAGTAATACTTTTTATTAAAACAAAAAAATATAAAGCTAAATTTATGAGTATTTACGAAGCTGAAAAAAAAAATACAAAAAAAAAATTTTATAATATTTATAAAAATTTATTATTATTTAAAAAGATGAGTGTATGTATGAATTAAATAAAACCATTTGTTTTATGTGTATATATATACATACACAGATATACATCTACATAAAAACATATAATATAGTTTATTTATAGTATTATCTTATAGCTACTGTTTATGTAAAATATGTCCATTAATATATAAATAAAACTTATAATACATGATATGACAACTGATTTTATTATATTATTATAGAATATTTATTTGAATCACGGATTGTTGATAAAAGGTATAATTCTTGTTCTGAACTTCGCGGACGGACAGACGTAAAATGTGCCGAAATGCAAAGTTTCGGATTCAGTTGAACAAATAAATCCATCAGTTAAACGTATGTACGTAATATTTCCACCGAAAATCGGCAATTTTTTTTAAATTTTAATTATATCAAAATTTTTCAACAAATTTGTAGATAATATATTTTTTATACAAATTAATTTATTATTTTAGAAACATATATACATGTTTATATATATATACAAAACCATACCATTATATGAATTAAAAATAAAAATTTACAAATATATATACATATACCATATATAGATACTTGTGTACACACATACATGCACACTTACATATAGCGTATATATATTACAATTTTAAATCTATGCATTTATAATACTATATCTTGAGATAATTTTTTCATTAATTACATTCACACCACTCACCTTGCTTAAAGCAATATATAATGAACTGAAGTTAGTATTTGTGATCTAGAGTTGACTGGAAACTGAGCTTAGTTCTAGATTATGTAGAAAACAATTCAATATATCAAAGTAGATTTAAATTTATGATCCTAAATATTTTAATAGAATATTCATAAACTCAAGTAATAATCTCAAGTAACCAGCCCTGTAATCAAGTAACATAGTACCACTGCAAATTACCAACAGGAAGGTACATGTACTTACAATTTATTAACAGTCCGGTAATCGGGTAGCTAGGTAAGACTGTAAGCTGCCAACAACCAAATATATACATTTAAAATGTGTTTTGTTGTGAATCTGTGATGTTACTTGGTTACCGAAGTCATTACCTGAGAACGTGTATACCTCAATATATTTTTTCCTTTGTTATTTGTAAACTTAAAATCTACCTGTCATAAAGATCTAAAGCTAATGAATTTCAAAGCCCCATAGAAATTTTTCAAATTATTTTATTAAAATCTTAATATTTTGGTTCTGCTGTTTCCAAAATATAGTCCCTCATGTTGTTCAGTTTCTTATTTCTGAAAACTAGTTATTTATTACATTCTGGAGTACTCATTAAAGGACGGCATAATATCCACCAACGATATGCATTTTATCAGTGTTAATTTTAGAGGAACTAATACGCGCCTGTAATAAAGAATCTGTTTTCAAAAACCTTGAGTACAATCTAATTTGAATTGAAAATAACCATTTACTAAGCGTTACAGTTATAAAATTCTTTATATATTCAAGCTGATCATTGAAACTTGGTTAAGTATGATTTATTTATCAATATAACTTTAATATATCTGGTAATCAAAAGAAGTCGCTAGGAGAGCAACATTCACTATAAATACTAGATTAAAGAGTTATTTGGTGTTTACAATTCGCCTTAGAATAGACTATTTGGCTATTGACAGGCTATCTGACATGTGACCATGACCTCCGTTACAAGATGAGTCTCTCTGTGAAGAGAGCATGTCGCCAATGCTTGTATGCATTTTAGATCTCTTCTTCTACATTAAAACTCTCCGTCTGGTTTACATACTTCATGGAAACTATGTGTATGTAGAGTTATGTATACGTCCAGCTAATGATTCTATATGTATAAAAATCATTTTAAGCATTACTTGAGTTATAAGTAGTATTGTGAAGTAGTGAACTGCATGGAGTTTGGTACTCATTACTCATAAAACCTGTGCGGTAAGTAATTGTTGATTCAGTGACATCATCATCCATTTACTCTTCATTACGAATTGTGACTTCGAGATGTTTACTGCAGCTGGTGCAAACTTAGATGCTGTTGCTGTGCAAAATGAAGTGATACTGAACTGATACTCTTTGACTAGTCGCATGCTAAGTTTATAAAAACGTTTAACATATTTTCAACAAAAAGACTATGGTAATGCCAACTCTGACATACGCAATTGGTTTTAAATGTGTCAAACTAACATAAGTAGTTAAAATTTTAGCTCATTACTTACTTGTAACAAGAGTTTTAGGTCATTAAATATTTGTAAAAAGTTGACCTTTTCAGTATATCATTTTTCTCAAATTGAAATAAAACAAAACTATAAAGAAAAATGGCAGTAAGGAGTTGAATATATTAAAGTTATTTTACAGTAAGTACGAATAATGGAGACCATCTTCCAGTTCAATAATTTTTCTAAATCTGACTATACTTGGTGCTTCTCTGCAGATATTGTTCCATATATATCGTGCTTCAGCTAGCTCGCTTTCTATCATTCTTCTCCACGTTTTTTGGCTGGCGTACCAGGTTTTCTGCTACCTTGTGGATTCCATACCAACGCTTGTCTCACTTCCATTTTCTCATCATTTCTCATTATCTCATTTTGTGCTGATTTTTGTGTGGTCGTTCCTTGTATATCGTTCTAGCTAAGTTTCGACCGTTCTTCGGTACGTTTTCCCTGGCGCAATAGGTCTTATGCTATCTTATAGATTCAATGCCAACGCGTTTATGTGATATTCGATCTGGCCACCATATTTTCAGAATTCTATGTAGACATTTGTTGACAAACACTTGAATCTTTTTGTCTATATCTCTGAAGTGCTTCTATACTTCGTAGGATATTCGAATGATTATAATGAGAACATATTATGTGAACAGTACGGCCGTAAAAGTTCTTCGCTGAAGAGTCTTTTAAAAGAATCAAATGTAAATTATTGTGCAGGAAGCTTTTAAACTAACATGTCCTTCTCAAGCAGACTGTGCCTCTTCTGACTGTACTTACTGGTGTCATGTTCCAGCAGTCTAATATTTAATCAAATTTTTTAGGTGTTTATTAGAATAATTTTAAGTTTTGCCATTACTTGAAGCACATACTCGTATTATTTGCAATAAAGCTCAATTGCTATAACTTTTGTATGATTTTTTTGTATTTTGCTATCTAAAATACTCTTCAAAATTAGAAAATAAATATACTATGAAAAAAGTGATTTTGCGATAATACCAAAGGTATAAGCCATACTAAGTACGAGTGTATATAAAACAGCAGAAAGTAAGAAAGAAAAGCAATTCCATGCAATCGCATACATTTATGTACGTAATGAACCGTCTCATTTGCATAATTTAATACAACGTTTAGCACCGAAAAAAATTGATACCACTTTAAACGCCCCATAAAAATGTTTAAGGTGTTGCCGTTGTCACACGGGGCTTCGCAGCGCTTGAACTTAAATGTTTATCGCATATGTTCGTTCGTCAAGCCATTGAATGAATAAAATAATTCCATTGCAATGGCTTTGGAGATAAAGCACGGAAATTTTAATATGAAATCGAATTTCGTTATCAGTTCGCAAGTCTGCTACATGCCTAAATTAAGCTGCGTTATCACAGCCCAAAGTGTTTGTGAGTTTATAAGAGCAAGTCCATTCCCGACTAACTTACTCAGTATTTTGTAGAATTTAATGATTTCAGCACGCAGCGCATAATTATTATTTTTCCCAGTAAACCTGCGGCTAAATATGGGTTTGTAAGTGCGTGCAGATAACGTGCCCAGTGGCTGAGTTGCTTAGTTTGATTAGTGCAATGGGGCAAATAAGACGGGCAGCCGCGTAAGAGTAGGTATTAGGTGTGATCTCGTTCTTGCATGCAAAGCATTTCAATTGATAAGACATAATAGAAATTATTTATATAATTATGACTGGGGATATCATCGGGTCATTTTCAATTTAAAAAAACTTTTTCATTAAGATTATGCTATTATCTATTCATATAGGAAAAAAACGTCAAATAATTTATTAAAAATGTTTGTTCGTGAATGATTTCACAAATTTTCGCAAACTATATCAAAGCCGCCGAGATGGGCGGGGAAATTGCCATTAAAGGGTACAATTTTATTAGCCGTAATTTTTTCTTTCAGAGTAGCAAAAAAATATTCGCAACTAACGAAAGCAATGTTGTTGTGAAGCAACAACAATGCTCTTAAAATCTTCAGAGTTAGGTTTTAGTCCCAAAAAATATCACGTCTTAAGTTTTAGTGCGACCAAACAGAAAAATCAGTCTATTGTGTGCATTCACTGGAAATTCTAGTCACCCCTTAATATCATATGAGCATTTCATATACTAATAATTTCAAATACATAAACAATAAATTAATTTAAATATATTAGATACTGATGCTAATATTTATTATGCTTTTTTTATTTAAATTAGTTAATTTTTACTATTTAATATTTTAATATTTTATATTGTACACAACACAACAAAAAACATATTTAACAAAATTTGTATGTACATATAACCTGTGTTTGATTATCTATATATAACTGTATATAATAAAATCAAAAACTAAAAAAAAAGTAGAAGAAAATGTAACATAAATGTTACCAGTCATATTTTCAATCGCATTAAAAGCAGTTGAAAATTTCAATCCTCGAAGACCGAGTAAACGTTGGAAAAAGTGTTATTAAAATTGGTTCCAATTTGAAGAACTATTTTAGTGTCGCCAAACATTTTTAACTATGAATACAATACATTATATTATCCAAGCTAATCTTAAAGTTCTTTTACTAGTAATATTACTAGTGAAATACTAACAAACTAGTATTAAAGCACTAATTGTACCCATGGAGGGTTAAGGTTACACTTTAACCAACCAAACAACTAAGCCAAATGTCATCAAGTGATAAGCACACCCCTGTTAAAATAATTAATTATAATTAGCAGATAGAGTAAGTAAAATGTTTACGAAATATCAACAAAAGTGTTTAATATTCTAATAAATATAATGAACATATAATAATATATAAATAATAATAATAAATAATTTTAATAAATATATTAAAATATAAGACTGTCATTATGATTATTTTAATATAATCAAATGGTATATAAATAAAACAGACATAAAACCACAAATAATAGCCAAGTGATAATAAAACAATATTCGAGTTAAATGTAGACACGATTCCGATTTTTTGGTCCGATAAGAATCGTTTCTTGTTTTTATTTTTTCAACTATGAAAACAACATTATTCAAGTTATGCGTTACGGTTATAAAGGGATTGTAAAGCCGACTTTTCTCAGCATAACGCCCAACTATTACACAATAATCATATTGTTAAGAATTAAATTTTACCAAAATCTGAAATTAAACTTTCATAAAATTTTATTATATATAAAAAAGTTTGAAGCTCAGAGAAT